CACCTACACCTACACCTACACCTACACCTACACCTACACCTACACCGCCTGGACCGGGTCCCGGGGCGCCGCCCCCCTCCCAGCCTTCTCCCCGCCGCTGACTGCCCGCTCCCGGGCCGCGCGCCCCGCTCCCCTCTCTTCCCCGGGTCCTCGGTGACATTTCGCGGCTTAGTCAAGTCCCCGCTCCCCACGCTTCCTAACGCCGACGGAAGCCACTCGAGCACCGGAGCGGCCCACCCAAGGCGTTGCCGATTCTCCCTCTTACAGCTCTCGTCCCTCCAGTGCCGACGGTAGAGAAAGACCTTACTCCAGGGGCCTGCTCCTCACTGAGGCACTGCCGGAAAGAGCAAACAAAAAAGGCGCTGGTGTAGGCTCCAAAATAAACACATCTGAATTCAGGATGGCATCGACAGAGGCTCTTATTGGATTAAAAGTTTTCAAACAAACAAAAACGCTTTGGAAAAAGGTCAGATTGGCTAAAGTTGGTTCTTGAAAGCAGTGTATACACTTCCCTATTTACTGATGAGTGTGTTGTGAATGCCAGGCGGTCCTGTGAGCTTGTCCGGATAAGTTCCTAAAGTTTCAGGTTTTAGGTAACTCTGTAATGTCATAACTTTACAGATAAATGGAAACGCATGGGGCTAAAGTCATTGTCTTCCTAGTGGGGGTTGCACAAACTGTACTCTCAACCGGGGAAGGCTGTTGGATGCAATTATAGGCTTAGTGTTTACACTGTTTTTTAAAAATCTTTTAATGTAAAAATATTGGCCATACTTGGCAAATGCTCTGTTTTCTACCAGCTTTAGGGAACTACATTTCAGAATCGAGGTATCATCCCCACCCTGAAATTCCCAACTTTGAATTTAGATTACTTAGATAGGGGCAGATATACCCACCTTTTCCTAATTCTGAGAGTGAACTTCAAGTCTCTACATCTCCATTGAGTCCTGTGGCACCTTTCCTAACCTCGAGTTTGCTTCAGAGTTCTAAACCCCAAGCCTTTTTGTGGGGGCTCTGACTCTCCCACTTAATAATGGCATGCATTCTTGCGGGATAGTAGTGACTTTATAAAATAATAAACTCACAGTAGTAGTAAAATATTAAGAAGAGGCATATCTAACTGACCTATCTGTGCATAATCACATCTATTCAAAAAACGTATCTCCTCCAAGGAAAAGTTGTCACAGGATTTTATATTCAGTGCAAATACCTTATGATTAGTGCTTAAAAAAACACAACTGCTTTTCCCCTCTCTATTCTGTTGAACTCTGTTTTGATGTTGCATAGCTTATTAGTAAGGAAAGTCTGGGCATAGCTTGAATTTTCAGAAATCTAACAATCACTTTTTGGTTTTAATGGTGTCTTGCTGTGAAACCTAAACTGAAAAACCTGTTGGTACATCTATTCCATATCTAAACATAAGGCAGGTATCTCTTTTTACTCGAGATTTTGAAATTTTGCCAAATGATGTTTTTAAATAGGTTTAACTGGAAAGCATCTAATCGTTAATGAGAACATGGTTTCCTCTTTCAGCAGGGTTGAATGCCTGCCTACACCCTTAGGCCCCACCATGGAGAAGGGTGGTAACATACAACTGGAGATCCCTGACTTCAGCAACTCTGTCCTGAGCCATCTCAACCAGCTGCGCATGCAGGGCCGGCTCTGCGATATCGTGGTCAACGTGCAGGGACAAGCTTTTCGGGCTCACAAAGTGGTACTCGCGGCCAGCTCCCCCTATTTCCGGGATCACATGTCCTTGAACGAGATGAGTACTGTCTCCATTTCCGTCATCAAGAACCCGACAGTTTTTGAGCAGCTCCTTTCTTTCTGTTACACAGGGCGGATATGCCTGCAGCTGGCAGATATCATCAGCTACCTGACAGCTGCCAGTTTTCTGCAAATGCAGCATATTATAGACAAATGCACACAGATTCTGGAGGGCATTCACTTCAAGATTAACGTGGCTGAGGTCGAAGCAGAATTAAGTCAAACGAGGACAAAGCATCCGGAGAGACCTCCAGAGTCTCACAGGGTTACACCAACTCTAAACCGCTCCCTTAGCCCACGACATAATGCCCCAAAGGGAAGCCGGCGAGGTCAGGTTAGTGCTGTGCTGGACATCAGGGAGCTCAGTCCTCCCGAGGAGTCCACCAGCCCTCAGATCATTGAACAGAGTTCTGATGTAGAGAGCCGGGAGCCCATTCTTCGGATCAACCGAGCAGGACAGTGGTATGTGGAAACAGGAGTAGCAGACCGAGGGGCACGGAGTGATGATGAAGTGAGGGTTCTTGGAGCAGTGCACATCAAAACAGAAAATCTAGAGGAGTGGTTGGGGCCTGAGAATCAGCCTTCCGGAGAAGACGGGAGCAGTGCCGAGGAAGTCACAGCCATGGTGATTGACACCACAGGCCATGGTTCCGTAGCACAGGAAAATTACGCTTTAGGATCTTCAGGAGCCAAGGTGGCTCGGCCAACAAGCAGTGAGATTGACAGGTAAATTTTGTTTTATTCGCCCACCTACCAGCTGTTGTATAGACATTACTAAAGCTGGCCCCCTGTGTGGTCCAGAGAGCATCTTCTTCCTTAATGCTCTTAGCCAAAATAAATTGATGTTGGGGAAACCGGAGGTATGCCAAAATACTTGCATTCTTATTTCTTTAAAGCAGGAAGCTCCTTGCCCTGGCTCAGGTGGTTGAGGGTCATCCCATGCAGGCAGAGGTCATGGGTTCAATTCCAGGTCAGGGCACATGCTCAGGTTTTTCGCTCAGTCCCCAGTAGGGGGCGTGCAGGAGGCAGACGATGTTTCTTTCGCATCCATGTTTCTCTCTCTCCCTCTCCTTTCCTCTCTTTCTAAAAATCAATAAAAACATATTTTTAAAAAAATTAAAGCAGGAAGCTCCTAGTCCTGAAGAATTCAGTGTTGTGAGAACTATGGGAAAGTTAGACACTTGCATGAATCAGAATAGCATCTGCAGCCACACTAGTGTCAGTAATTGGCAGGGCTTCCTTGGAATTCCAGGCAGGGGGCTGGTCCATCAGCTGGGAACCTGGCAGCTTTGCCCTTCCTCAGTATGTTATCACCCAGATAGATGGTCTCAGAGGAGTTTTACTTGCCTTTGTAATGCTGTTTACTTTTCTTTGCCCCCCACCTGCCAAGCTAGAGGAGGTATGGTACCAGCAGTAATTGTTCTTTTTAAATTAGTGTAATCACAGTACAGTTATTCCTAAGAAAAGCTTTGGACATGGTTTTTATTCCTTTTTCCACTTGTCATTTGATGTCTTCCCTTTGTCTTTCATTGGTGCCTGCTGCTACCGCAGGCCTGAGTCTGTTTTTCCCCCAATGCTGCTAGGTCCCATGGCTCCCTTTTCTCTTTCTAAGTGCAATTAGAGCATTTCTTTTTGGTGGAAATAGCAATAGTTTTAATCTAAGTAAATTGAAAATCTCAATTGAAAGAAAGAAGTATTATCAACTTAGATTGATAATATTTGTTCTTTTCCTCTCTTAAAAATAAATTAAAATTAACTGCATGAACAATGAAAATTAATGAAGCTATTACTTTGGTTGATACCTGGTCTTAAGAGACATATGTGTTACAAATTTAGAAAGTATATACTGTGTCCACTTCAGGTGGTCTTGATTTGAGTATTTTCCTTCTTGTGTCCTGAATAGTTAAAATACTCTTGAACACAATACTTACTGCTCCCCCCCACCCCCCATGTTAGCACTGTATCAGAAGTAATAGCCTTAATGCAAAGACTCTGAATCTCCATGATCTATATCAACAGTATGAAATATATAACAAGTTATGCTGGGCCTGGAGGAAGGAACAACCAAAAACCTAACAGTACATAGAAGAAACAGAATTATAGACCCAGCTTTAATTTATTCTTTTTATGGTCTCCCAATACTTATGTAAGAATAGAACTTATATTTATCCTTGGCTTCACCAGGTCATATGGTCTATCTGGTATGTCATTTTGTATTTCTTAAATTTACTATGGCAAACCTTTCTTATTTCGAATCAGATCCTATACATTAACTCCCTAAAAGTAACTCTTAGTCATCTGTTGTTCACTTTGTTCCCCCTTCCTCAGCCATGGGATAAAGAGGGTAGACATCACCATTTTTTAAGTTCCTTGACACTGCTTTTTTGTTAGTCCCCTTTTTGCTCCTCTTCCGACAGATTTAGCCCCTCCGGCAGTGTTGTCCCCTTGACGGAGAGACACAGAGCCCGAAGTGAGTCTCCTGGGAGAATGGATGAGCCTAAGCAGCCCAGCTCCCAGGTATGTAGTTGTGGTGGCTGAAGAAATTGCCACTATGTGCGAATCCGACAGGAAAGCTGTAGGAGAGGGAACAGTGGCCCTGTTAAAGAAATACTCTACTCAATTACCTTTTTCTTTATTACCGTTTGCAAGCAGCAGGAAATACACTTTTGGTGTCAGCAGCATTTGGGAAGTAGAAAAAGATGAGATTGCGGAACTCTTTTCTGAACCAGTCCATAGTCCTGAGAGTAGAAATAAAAAAGTAACCCCAAAAAGTACATGCAGAAAATGTAGGACCTGGGATAGAGAGCCTGTTTCTGTACATGTGTGGGTATAACACTACATAATTACTACTTTATGCAATATTACATAGGTGTCCCAACAAAATGCATACACACTTTAACAGCTGATAACTCACTTAATTTTCACTCCTCTTCAGGAGTGAAATAATCAGTTGAATTTAACTGATTTGAAATAATGGGTGAAGCCAGACTAAGCTTTGAACAAAGAAAATTCATCCTAAAGTGCCACTAGACTTTTTTTGTGGGGATACATAAAAGATAAAGTTTACTGTACAAAGCAGGCAACAGTCGATGAATTGAGGGCACACAAATACTGAACAAAATGATTCCTGATGTTTGCGATTCCATTGCTTCACATTATCAGCAGTTCCTGGACCAGAATGGTCATCAGTTTGAAAACATGCATTGACAAAAAAAATTACTCATTTCTATAGATTCTTTTAAATTTTGAAAATGAACTGTATGTTAATAAATACTGACTTTATAATCATTCAAAGTGTGTATACGTTTTGGGGGGGAACCCCTTGTATTTGTAAACAATTGCTTTTGCATTTTCGTATGCTTGTATCTTTTCATTTACTTTCTTTCTGAATCTTTTGTTAGACTAAAATATTCTAGAAAGGATAGGAATGATGTCTTCTATTTTCTTTGCAACTCTCCGTAGCAAGTAGTATAAGTAGTTGGTTGATATTGTTGTTTGTTTTTCCTCACAGGTCTCTATCCTTGAAGGTTGATTTTTAAAAGGATGGTGAACTCACCAAGTAGAACATAATACATTGTAAACACTTTTGTCGTTTTGTCCATAGCTTCCCTGGCCGGCATGGTCAGTGGTTAGAGCATCGACCTGCGTACCAGAGGGTCAAGGGCACATACCTTGTTTGCAGGTCCAATCCCCGCCCCCTGGTGAGGCACTTGTGGGAGGCAACCAATGGATATGTCCCTGTCACATCTGTTTCTCTCTTTCTTTCTCTTTCTTTCTTCCCCCTCCCTTCCACTCTTTCTAAAAACTAAATTGAAGAAATAATCCTCACTTCAGGTGAGGGTTAAAAAAAAAACAAGGAAAGCATAGCTAATATTTTTTAGCTTCTGTATTATACTGATAGTATCTTGTTTAGTTTTTACTTAAACATTGGCTGTTTACTGTATATGTGGTATAGTAATAGCAGCAAGACATTGTTACAAACTATATTTACTTGCATGGTATCATGCCAGTTTTTCTGTACCAGAAAAGGAATTGTAACTATTATAAGAATTTTTTTAGTTTTAATAAGCTGTTAAAGAAAATGTTAAGAGCTTGGAGGAAAAGTTTACTCATATAATTAGGGCCCTTTTTCGCCTCATCTCTCAAATAGGATGAGATGACTATGTGAAGGTGACTATTATGCAAATAAGTATGACAGTAAGACAGACCTTACAACTTAATGGGAGTATAAGGCAGACTAACAAATACACAAAACAGGTATAGATAAGACTATATAGACCTCATTAACAGTGTTGTGGGAATAGGAGTGCTTAAAAGGCAGTTACTGGAATCAATAACCACTTAAAGAAAGTGTTGTTCAAGAGAGTTTAAATGCAGTATTTAATGAAGTAGTTAGAGGTAACTTACTCCACATGTAGATGTAATAGGGATGACAATTGGAATTCTACAAGGATGTTTACCCGACTGAAGCGGAAGGTGCAGCTATAAAGAAATAGAAAATAAGTAATGTTGTCTGGAGGTGATATTAAGAGATGGGTTAATATATGCCTTATCATGTGTGAAAGTTTAGATGGTGCAGGTAAATGAACATTTCCATCATCACAGAAAGTTCTATTGGACCAACAATACCTAAGTACCTACCTGACTGTCTAGATATAACTGTAAATTAGAGTCCAAGAGGATGGTAGGAGTAGACCCAGATTCTCCTATTGCTGAAAACAGAACATTCGCTGAAGGTTTCATAAGAAGCTTGCAGTTTCTCAGCCGGAAAGTAACTTGAGTGTCTTTCTCTGTTAGGGTAATGGAATACAGTGTCCTCAGAATTTTTTTTTTAATTGTTATGTTAACATCTTTACTTTTTGGTAGTAATTTCCTGTTTGGATCTCTACTAAAAATCAGCATAAAGTTTAGTAACATAGGTAGTAAAAGTGGACTTGATTTCTTTTACTATGTCTGTTCACAGTACATGTTCTTTTGTGTTTATTTTCCTCACCTGGCACAGGTAGAAGAGTCAGCAATGATGGGAGTAAGTGGATATGTGGAGTATCTCCGAGAGCAGGAGGTATCTGAGCGGTGGTTCCGGTACAATCCCCGTCTCACCTGCATCTACTGCGCCAAATCTTTCAACCAGAAGGGGAGCCTGGACCGGCACATGCGCCTGCACATGGGGATCACACCGTTCGTCTGTCGCATGTGTGGCAAGAAGTACACCCGCAAAGATCAGCTGGAGTATCACATCCGCAAGCACACAGGCAACAAGCCCTTTCACTGCCATGTCTGTGGCAAAAGTTTCCCCTTCCAGGCCATCTTGAATCAGCACTTTCGAAAAAACCACCCTGGCTGTATCCCCCTGGAGGGGCCTCATAGCATCTCCCCTGAAACAACTGTCACGTCTCGAGGACAAGTAGAGGAAGAGTCACCTTCACAAGAAGAGACAGTTGCTCCTGGGGAAATCGCCCAAGGTTCCGTGTCCACCACTGGGCCAGATTGAAACATTGAGGGGGAGGGGGCAGACCCTCTTCCCCTTTGGGCCGTAAGCAGCCAGCATCAGGGCCATGGGCTGGTACTTCGATTCACAAAATGCCACATCACTAGATCGGAAGATGCTCCCAAGACGTTGCCAAACTAGAGGATCAGCAACATACACAGAAGCACTAGAGGCTTTTTCCCTCCTCCCCACCTCACACTTTAGAAAATATCAAGCAAATCAACTGTCTAATTCAGGGATCAACAGCCTTGGTTTGTTAACTTTATAAGAAAAAATTTTTTTAACAAAACCATGAGAAATGGTCATTTATCTACCAGTCACGTTTGAACACTGTCCTTTGGTCCATATCATCCTGGTGGCTGTCACTTGCCCAGATCTAAAACATGCAGCAGGAGCCTTGGTCATCGGAAGCAGCCTAGCACAGAGAGAAGGGAGTAATCTTGATGGTGATGATGAGGAATTCCTTTTATTCCTTCCGGCCAGATCCTGCAGTTCCAAATTTCAAGGAAAAGGAAAAAAAAGAATCCTGGTGCTTCTTACTGTTTTGAGAGGTTAGACCTTATCTTTGCCCTGACCAGGCATCTGCTGCGATGGGTTGTTTTCTGTAACAGTGGTGCTGGAGCAGAGCTCTGTGGCAGCATCCCCTGAAGCACTTTGGGCAACTGGAAGTGAAATGACAGTGGTGTTTGCAATAGGTACCGCTAAGCGCGGGGGCTAGAGTGCTGAGTTGAGGTGAGGGGAGCAGAGAGGGAAGTTTTGGGTTTGCAAATTTGGAACAGTACAGAGCCTACTGCAGCTTACTGATTGGTATTTGTAAACCAGAGTGCTTGTATATCTTTGGGTATTAGGAAATGGCTCTAGTCCAGATGAATTAACGTGTTAGGCTGACTACCAAAGTTTCATCCAGTCTCTTCGGCTCCTACTGTCACATAACAGCAATAGTATATATCAAAAATGTCACTTTCCAGTGAAATGAGCCTGGATTGTATTTTTAAATCCACAGGTCTCCCTATTTGATAACTTTTATATGAAGTTTTAAACACATTTTTTTCTGCAGTATTCTGGTTGAAGAAATTCAACACTATGGTTCTTATTGCAGCCACAATTCCATTTCCTTCTACATAAGTAATAGTTTATATTTTCAGTCCAATAGAAGAACCTCACTAAATCCATGTCTCATGTCTGCCAACCTAGTATTTCATAAACCAACCATCAGCAAATTGCTGGTGACTCCAAGAGCTTTGCTTTTTAATAATACAGTACAGGGCATTTACCAGAAAACATCAGGCACAATCATGTTGCAATAAATTGATCAAGGCATCAGTTTTGATCAGCTTGATTACTTAATCATTCCTAAGATTTTTGAAACTTCAAGAGACCTTTTTGGTAAATCTGAGATTCTTAATCCAGCACTGAGAGTCAGGAAGAATTTACCAAGAGCATAGAGCTTTAGATGCCCTGTCTTGCATGCAGAGAATGAGGGAGGATTTTTAAGGGGTGCAGGCAAGTAGATGCTTACAAGTCACAGTGCAAATAGAAAAGCGAAAAATCTCTAGCTTCTCTTAATGATCATTAAAATGTTAAGGGTATTTAAATGTTTAGTAGTTTAAGAAATTGTTTTGGTGCGGAGGCATAGATTGTAAAAGGGACTTGGGAGAGGGGCTGGTGCCTGCACTGGTGAGCCACTTGTGAAAGTGTTAGTAGTGCTCTCCCTTCCTGAGAATGCTTTGTGGTATGTGGAAAGGGGGACAGAAAAGGTGGCATTTCTTTGATGATAGGACGTTAGATGCAAAGGGTAACTCTTAAGCAATCTGAGAATTGTTCATACACATACAGCTGCCCTGTGTCACTAGGGAATGGTTCTTTTGTCGCTTCTAGAAAAACAGAAGTGTGTCTTTTAATAGGAATGTAATAATGCTACCATTTGTTAAGAGCCTACCCTTAAACGTAGTGTTGAAGCTGTATTTTATCTTTAGAAGACGTATACCGGGACACCATGATAGGGTAAAAACTCATGCGTAGGGCCATCTTAGGGACCAGGTAGGTTCTGTGGCCTAGAAGTGAGACTAAAATCTATAGGGAAACATTTCAGCTGGTAATCAAGGCTTTCAGTGGACAGATCTTGCCATTACTAAATAGGTGAGAAGTACAGAATATGCTGCTTTAGATGGAGCTTTTAAGCCTACCAAAAAAATATTAAGTTCATCCTACTTTTGAGAAGTAGTATGCTGGAAAGTTCTTGTTGCTTTGTTAGTTTTCTTAGATTTTTCTGTGAGAAAATAGAGCTTTTTAAACTATTACCAAATCATAAAGGTGAAGTGCAGTAATTTCTGTAAAGAGAAACTTTGCAGCGTTTGTCAGTACTCCACCTGGGATTGGCAGCAAACACTTTGAATGCAGTAGGGACTGTCTAATAGATATGGAAATGCTGTGAGTGTTTGGTGGGCTCCCTGCCCTTTTCATTCACTTCTAATAGCTTTTGCTGTGTTGATACTGTGAATAGAGTGCTTCCAGGTCGTCTAGGACCCCATCAGCACAATCATCTTTGCTGGTTCTCTCCTCTTCACTGGTCTAGTCCAGAGCCATGAGGTTCGTGAAAATTCAAGTTTCCTGAAAGCAATCTCCCCATTTTAGTTAGGAGAGAGATTGTTATTCTGAATACCCAAGGTTCTCCTCCAGGTTCACTGTGACGTTGCCCTAGTTCTTAGCTAACGTCACTGGGTTGTAGGAATTAGTAGTGTTCTGTCTACATCAGTGAATCGCTATATTGTTGTGTGCACAGAGGATACCTCTCTTAAAGGTGTACTAAATGGACTTTAGCTAATGCTGAAAACTATTACCAAATCTTAACTTGCACATGTCACCTTGTGAAGGGAACTGCATTAGCAATGAGAGCTAAACCATCATTACATACCTTAACGCCGAGAAATAGCTAACACTGGGGCTGTTTTTATTCACTGAGTGGCTCCTCATAGCAAAGGAGGTACCCAATATTCTCAGCAAAAGAAGAGAGAGGGCAACTTTCGTTCTAAGAGGTACCTTGCATCCTCTCTGAGCTCTGATACCAGAATAAAAGGCAGCGTTGGCATGCGCAGTAACACTGTACTGGGGCAGAAAGGCTCTTTCTAATGACCTGTTCTCTTTTTACTCAGAACCATATTTACCTCTGAACTGAGTTGAGTTTTATTTTATGTAACTGGCAAACTACCCCCGAGCCATTTCATTGTACCAGAGGGTTAAATCTAATTTTGAATATGTAAAAATAAATTACTTACTAAAAGGTAAAGATTGTGAAAGAAGGGAGATGGCAGTTAAGGAAAGTTTTCTTGCTATTTTGTTTTTTTGGGGTTTTTTTAATGTTTCCAGTTCCTTCTACATCTGTGAAACGGGGTTTTCCAAAGATGGTTTAACATATAGAAATAAGCCATTTTCCTCCAAACTCCATAGTTGAAATTTGACCTTGGTTGGAAAGTGGTCTGCCAAAGAGAGAAATAGTGAACATCCTTAATAGCTGAATAGTCTTTCGTCAACAAATAACTTTAAAAAGTGTTAGCTGTTACTTGACACTGGTTTTGTTTCTTTTAACTGGTAAAAACTACATTTTGTTTAAATGAAAGCAATGGGTAAAGGAAAAGAAATTAAATTGAACAAAGACAAAGGTCTTCTGAATCATAGTGGAAAGGCATAGTCAGGAAGGAGTTTGAATTCTGGAAGTTTTTCTTAAATACAACAGACATGGTTTTTTCTCTTCCTATCTGTGTACTTATTTAAGGAACAACAGATAAGTCCTTAATGAACTCAGTCTTTGAAAGCAGAGCTCTTATGCCATATGGGAAAGAGTGCAAAATATTAAAAGTATTTTAGTTCCTGCGATTTAGAAGGGCCAGTAAGCAATTTAATCAGGTTAATCCCTAAATTTAAGGCTGTCCCTTAGCAAAGAACATCCCTAGGACTCTGAATTAGATCGAGGTTCAACAAACTGCAGCCCCCTGGTCAAATGCCACGGCTGCCTTTTTGTGTAAAGAAAGTGATAGTGGACTAGGGCCGCGCCTACTCACTTGGGTGTGGTTTATGGCCACTTTCTACTACAACTCAAAGTTGAGACCAGGTGGCCTGCAAAGCCTGAAAATACAGATAGCTGGCACCTGACAGAAGTTTGCCAGCTCCAAATTAAATTTGAAGGAATCACCCCCCAAATCTGTCAATCCTGCCATTTTGCTTTTATAAACTCCTGAGTTTAAAAGCTTGTAAATTCGTATTGCCGTATATGCGTGTTTCCTGAAAGAGGCTGCCGTCTTTTCCTGGTTCCTTTTCTCAGCCCTCTCTGTGCTCCCTAATAGCTCCCGTTGCTTTAAGAGCACGTAGAGTAATCCTTAGGATTTGACCTTGCCTTAACGGTGCAGGGAGATGAACATTTAGGACGGTTGTTACCGATACAACAAAGTGATTTTTAGAAATAATTCCCATGCATCATAATGTAAGGTTAAACGAGTACCATGTTTACATAAAATACTGTACAAAAAAAATAATGTTTTTATAAGTGAGTTTTGCCATTCCTCTGAGTTAACTTGAACTGGCTGAATAATGAAAGCTCGGATGAGTTTATTCCCGTTAGTATTACGATTTTATTTCTGTTCGGAATAAGCGGCTTGATTCTTACCCTGAGTGCTGTTTTTCTAGATTAGAAGCCTCTCGCTTTTCCCTGTACTATAAATCTTCATTCTGATTTCCTCAAGTAAACTCACTCTGTTCCCTGTGGAGTACCGAAAAGCCAAATCTTCCTTTTCTCTTTGTAATGAGTGTTTTAAAACATAACGAAATATCTGAGATTTCAAATTCTTCCAAGACCTATCTCCCAATTTCTATTACTCTCTGTAATTCTTCTAAAGATATATTGGGCCCTTATACATTTGCTTTGTGAATGTTCATTCTTACTGTTCAAATAGTTTGTTTATGCTAGATGTGAAAAAATTGGAAAATGTTAGGGTAATAATAAACAGGATCCTTGCAAAAGGAGAACATAATTGTCCCCTTTCGGAAACAAAACATGGTCCTCTGAGTTAGATGTGCTTGTCTGAACAAAGTGTTGGAGCCAGACTGGCGCAGTCCAGGGAGTTTGCCTCTTCTTTGTGGTTGTGGCTACAACACATGCAAAGTTCAGGTGAGTGACGCAGCTGCCCATAGGGCACTTCCTCACCAGGCATTTTATCCTTAGAGTTGCCTCTTTCTAAATTGGATATTAGTAGGTTCTATATAATACACTCTTTTAGTAATAAGTAATCTTCATCTATAATACTTGCCTAGATTCACTCCGCTTTGTCTTAGAGCCCTTATAGTAATAGTGGGTTCGTGACTTGTGAAAGAAATTGGATTTAGATACCAAGCTCAGTGAAACATCTGCATCCACCTCTATTTGAGGTCTTGCTAGTAGGTGTCATTTAAATGTAAATCTGTTTAAATACGAGAAACAGTGGAGTCTGCCAAGCATTATGACTTCTTTGATAATTATCAGTGTTGTGTTTTGCCTTCTTTGTTTTCTAGCCTCTTTCTCTGTTTCAGTCTTCTTCTTAAGTGGTGCTTTGCCCAAGGCCAGTCTTTTTGCTTTGCAGTAAGTAGGTTTCCTTGCTCAGGACAAGCCAAAGTTGGATATGATGAGTACTTTGAAACACGTGACTTAGTTACATTCCAAAGGATGTAATTATTGATGGCAACAATGATATCAAAGCCTGGAAAATATCTGTACAGACTGCAGTTTTGTTTTGTAAGCAGACTATCTTTTCCCTCAACTGTGAGGAACAGTGGTGACTTAGGAGGCAACTATTACTTGAAATATATGTTATCTTCACAGAGGTTACATGTATAAATAAATTCCTTATCGCTCATCTTTCCCATTATTTAAATAACAAATACCTCCCGTCTTAACACAGTTAAGAACGGCCCACTAGTTCAAATAGTGAAAGCTTTAAACAACAAAGCTAACCTATAAAGGCAGAGCAGTTATGGTTAAAAAAGAAAATACTTTCCTAATGCTTGCTTCTCTCATGTCTACTCAGTAAGTCCTGTTGAAGTGGCTAGAATTCACTGCCCAGTTAAGAGAGATGTATGTGCAGCATTTCATATGGCCAACAGCACGATTTAATATTAATAATTACCAATTAATAATTACTGTGAATCTTAGAATCTGAATTAATCCATAATGCCAGAAGTCAGAGTAGCCTATAAGGAAATGTTTCCTATTCTATGAAATCACTTATCTTAAGTGATAGGTAGCATACAGGAGAATCTGTTCCATTAAGTAAATATTAAGTACTTTTTGGTACCAGACAATGTGCTTGGAATTTGTATAACAAAATTGATTTTAGATGTAGTTTAGATGTGGCTTCCTGTAGTACTTGAGAGTCCTAAGCCCACTTGGTTGGAGTCTGGATATATGCTTTTTAAAAGCCTGCACTTTTTACTGCATAGATAAAAGATCAAAAAGAAGGGGACAGAATGAGCTGCACTAAGAAAATAACCCTTTAGAAGAACTAAGAGTAGCTGACTGTTTTGAATGCTCACAACGTGCCAGGCACAGTTCTATGTGCTTCACGTTGATTAACGCACCTATTCCTGTGACAATCCCATTAGGGTAGACACTGTTACTATCCTCACTTCAGAGAGAAAGGGACCGAGACACAGAGAGGCTGACCCCCGGCAGCCCCACACAAGAGTTGACATTCTTAATAAGACTATGTTGCCTTTAATAGGTATAATTATCCCACACTGTATGGGCGAGGAAACTGATGAGCCCAGGGTGACACCATGGATAAACTGCACAGCCAGCATTTACCAGTCTGACTTCAGAGTCCAAACTATCTTCACTACTCATGCTGACTGTTTACTGATAAAGGCCGGGCTGAACTGGATTATACAACAGCCAGTAACAGTACTGCTTATCGTGATCGAAGATCTCTTTGAAAGATAACGCAGTTGATCGCTGAGCAGATGTTGAATGGTGAAATTTTTCTGGGGATGCCAGCCACTGATTCAGAGGAGTCGCCCATTCGTTAGGTCCAGTGGCGAGTGAGTGAATGAGTTACTGCCAAGGCAGAAACTGAAAGCTAGCATTCCAGCTGCCTACAGCTGTGTAACAGACTATCCTAACCTCAGTGACCTAAAGCGACAGCTTTGTCTCTCTCATGATGTGGGTCAGAAATTCAGGAGGAGCTCGTCTAGGCAGTTCTCTCGCTCCCTGTGGTGATGAGTCAGATCACTTGATAGTATTCAGCAGGTGGCTGGACTGGTCTGGAGTGTCCAAGACGATCTCACCCACATGCCTGCCACCTTTGCAGGGTGGGCTCAGCAAGCCTCCTCTCCCTCGCTGGGGCCTTGGCGACTCTCTGTGGTCTCTCCATCACAGCAGTCAGCCTTATTAAAAATGGTAGCTCGGGCCTCCAAGAGGCTGGGTAGAAGGTGCCAGTCCTCTTAAAGGCCAGGCTCGCAGGTGGAATAGTCACCACCACACAACATTGGTCAAAGAAGTCACAGCTCAGGCCAGATTCAAGGGGACAGCAAGTACCTGACATGACGGAAGGCGCGTCAGGATTGGGGCCCATCTTCAACCTGTTATCGGTAACGAGGCTTTTTGATGGTGTTGACTCCTTTGTCCATTCATTCGGGTCCATCATTCGTGCCATAGAAACCATTTATTATGTCTGGCGTTGGTTGGTAAAGGAGCAACAGATTTCATTAGCTCCCTGCCCCTGAGTTTCCTTTATCTTATAGCAAATTGTCCGTTTTTTCTTTTGTTCCAACTTGTGAGCATTTAAGCCTGGTTTTTTGTTTTTCGAAGCCACAGAAACTGTACGTGCTGAGCCAGAAATACTCCAGAGGGAGTGCAAAGCGTACTGTTACAGAATTTGAGGTGTCAGCTGTATTTAAGTTTATAGTAGGTGAAAACTCCTGTGGTGTGGGAAATCTGTATGGCTACTAAATCTCTTCCCACAGGAGTTTCTGTTGAGTGGCTAGAAGGGTCATATTCCTGAGATAATTGGAAGTCTTGCCCATGTATCCTAATCCATCTTCACTGCCACCCACTGCCTCTGGCTCAGTTTTGTGCTAGGAGATGAGTAGGTTCTTCCCACTTTTATTACCTTTCATACGAGAAAATCCATTGCCCAATTTTACATTTTGTTAATCCTTTAAGATTACCAGTTGCTACCAGCCTCTCTTATCTGAAATAACAGATCACTGAAGTTTTATGATACTGGTTAGATTTGTCAGATTTAGGATGCTTTTATTTTAACTGCTGCTGGCTTATAATAATTAGACTCTTACTGCCATCACAAGAAATTAGGGGAGAGAATAAATTCTGCACTAAAAATGATCATTCTCAAATCAGTACACTTTCTAAGAGAAGAAAGATTTCGGATTATCCATCCATTCCTTATGCAGAGGATTCCTGCAGAGTTAGCTGTAAGGGCTTCTTCTTGGTCCACCCCAGTTATCATATAGCAAAGAGATCTCTGTCCTTAGGTCAGGCCTCAGGAATTGCAAATACAGGAATAAAAGGGGTACCCAGGGCTGAAGACTTTGGTTAGGAGTCTACAGAATGCTGGGAGGGAAAAAGAAGACTTTGGATAACCAGGGATGGAACATTTGGAGGCATATAGACATCAACATTAATTCGATTTTATCATGTAAGGATTGGGGCAGATTTTTAAAGAATAAAAATAAAGGAGCCTTAACATATTCTTTTTGATCCACATTTCACTCTGGCATACCTTGAAGTCTGCTCTTTGTGACAGAGAAAGCCGTTGAAAAGATTCCCAGGGAATGAAAACTCACGGTAACCTATGGAGATGCCTCTTGCTCTGGATTTTCTAGCTCTCTGGGCCCTCCTCTAGACTCTCGGTGACTCTTAAGTTGAAATCATCTGGTGGTTGCACGAAACTCAGTACTGTGGTCTAGAATTGCAAAAGAGAACGAGTCAGAAGAAAGGGAACTTGTAGATTGACAAAATATTTGTTCTTTCTTTTCAGCATCACAAGTCTAAGCCATTTCAAGCCAATCACAACAACCTGAGTGAGTAGAAATTCCGTAAGGGTTTAAATTTCTGCTGGTAGCAACATCTTAAAGCAGATGTTTATGTCATGAGAAGGCAATCTATTGAGTTTTCTGTAAGATAACAGAATCCTAACTCGAGCAGTTCTTTAAGAACCACTGCAAAAACAGAATGTAACACAGGGAAGAAAGCTTAAGATGTGTTTCCTCTGAAAGCCAAGAAGCTGAAGGCCAGAGGGAGGGGGGTGCTGGGTGTGACTGAAATCCACCTCCAGAATGGCTGTCAGCCAGACAGCAGAGATTTTAGAATTTTTATGGTATTTGTAGTATTTTTACAAAAGTGATTTTAAATCATGTAACTTGAAGTTTTAAAAAATGAGCCTGTTTTCTTTTTGGAAAACTGGCCCAATAAAAGTAACACTAATATAATTCACTTGTATATGCATGTGCATTGAACACAGAGTGGTATACTAAAGAGAGTTCATGCATATAACTTGTGGGAAGTTTGGCTATTTTCTTAATATCGTTTTTCATAAATGTATGTTTATAAATATATTTACTTGTCCACTATGACCTTGGTAGTATTAGGAGCATTTTGTTAGTTGTATCATTGATTCTAAAAATCTAATTCTTGGCACAGTCAGCTATGAGAACTTTTCGTTGCTTTGTTTGTATTTTCACTAAGAAAAGTATTTCTCGCACTTTCTATTTATAAAAATGTTATAACACATTGCACCCACTTAGTGCAGCTATTCTTCACAGATAAAGATGTAGGTGCTAAAGTGAAATGTATGTTTAAAAGCCTGGCAAAAGGAGGGACCTCAAGATAACCGATTTGGCTTACATCTACCTGGGGAGAGCCTGGGGTACAATATAGAATTGAGACTGAAAGCAGCTGTCAGGATAAGTGTGCTGCTGCTGCAAGTTGCAATATTGTTGTGAGTGACCAGCTCCATGTATGTGATTTCATGTATGTATGTGAGAAAAAGGTGTCTGATGAAGGCAGATAAGTCAATGTAGAATACACTACCTCCCATTAAAGACTGAGCATATTCCAAGGTTGCCCCGCAGCCCCTTGGGCAGGAGGCTGGATTCCTCAGCCACTGTCCCCCCCGTTCTTTCTTGTACTCACTTCAGCTCCTCTACCTCTGAGCACTTGGCTGAAGAAAGAGTGTAGTTTTCTGTAGCAAGCAAAGGAAAGCCAGACCCAAAATACGGAGGCTGCCAGATCCAGTTCTCCTTGTCAAGTTAGATGTTAATGTTTGCTTTTGTTGCCCAAATCAAAGAGTCAGAACACTTGGGTTTAGTGCTTTGATCTGCTGGCTCCTATTTGGCAAGAGTAGTCAGTGGAAGTGGAGCCTTTGTGTTGTTTGAAATGATGCACCGAACTCCTTTCAATATGTGAAAAATATGTCTGAATCCTGAGTTGTTGTTGTTGTCTTTTCAATTGCCACTTACAGTCCATTTTGGGGGGACTGGAATAAAAACCATGTTTTCCTGGTAATGAGCCTTCTGCCAGTATCTTGACATGGAGGTGTGTGTGATGTGGGTTTCTGGACGGCCTGTTTGGCTTTTCGTCACTCCAAAGAGAGATGCTCCTGCTTTTAATGCTGATACTGTTATAATAGGATGGCCTCGCTTGAATGTCGTGGGTGTCAGGAGATATAGTTTCAGTAGTAAAATGCCACTAGGCGGGCCACCTCATCATGAAATCCAGTTGTTGCACTCAACTGGCTTGCTGTTTGGGGCACTGGTACACTGAACCAAGTCAGGTCACCTCCTCTTTAAACATCTGTTACAGCTGGGGAAGGACCACTCGCCTTTGATAGGTACCTGGCATGCTTCCCACCTCTTCTTTCTAATGCACTGGCTGGTTGTAATGTCTTCTTAGGAGTGAAGATGAGAGAGAGTGATCCATTTTAGAGGTTGGCTTCTGTGTTAGGTATTAGCTAATAAGTATTCACTTACCCAGTGACTGGGTAGGGCAAGCGATGATACCGACAGTGTGAAATTCCAAATAATGAGACACGCATCACTCATAGGTGACAACTGATATAGAGCAGCCTCTCTCTCAGTACAGTGCGAATCCTGTAGGGAGATGAGGCACTAAAATCAATGTGAACCTGTTCACCACAGCTATTTTTTTTATAACTGTAGAATAATTGTCAGCGTATAAGCCATGCTGATATCCTGGACTCAGGAATTAACTCCTGCTTAGGAAAATTCTCCAATCTGGCTTGTCTTTTGTTTGTGCCCAGAGTCTGTCCTAGGCCTGTCCCCAGCTGTTTTGCTATACCGCATGCTTAAGGTGCAGCTTGTTACAGCTAAAATGATTTACTCAAAAACAGAACACACACAACAGTGAAAAGTGCCTAGATCATTTCGAGGCATGTTAAATCTGTGAATCGGGGGGAAGCATGGAGTCTTACCTTTCTTCCCTGTGACTTGGGTGAGCACTGCCCTGAACGCTTTCTAGTGCAGAGCTGGCTGACCTTGGCCAAGACACCTCCATCTTGGCTACACATTATCATTTGGGACATTTAAAATTCTTGTCCAGGGCTCCCTCCTGACATTGACGGTTAATTTGCCTGCTGTGTAACCTGGGGTTTAAAAGCTCCCTAGATAATTCTAATGGGCAGCCAAGGTTGAGAGTCACCTTCTGGGTGAACCTGGGTGGCCTTTGGCAAGAGAACCTCAATCAGGTTCTTTTTCTCATCAGAGACCTTTATTGATATCCCAGGCATGGCTCTGAGTTTAAAGCTTACGGTGGGCCAAGGCTCAGGCAGTAAAAGGGGTCATTCATTTATCCTCAGAGTAATCCTGGAGAGAGAGATGTTGCCATCCATCCGGTTTCCTCTTTATACCAACACAAAGGCTGCGTAAGTAAGCAAAACATGTTTTCAAAGTCCAGTCTCTAGAACCTACTTTCCTTTGCATAGGTGATTTGAGTGGCGATTTCTCAATTCTGCTAGCTAAAATAGAACCCTTGACCTTATTAACAGAGCCAAGCCCATGCCACCTAGGGGGACTTCTATTTGTAAAATAAACACGAAGCTTTGTTAAAGTTCCTGGGGTGATGGTAATACATCCAGTTATTTGTCTCTCAGCTGTCTTCTACGTGGGATTTCAATGTAAAGTGACTCATATTTTTCCTTATTTCTTTGTGAATGAAATGCACTAGCTAAGGCTTAAATGTTTCTGAATTTTTTATGAAATATGAAATGAGTCATTTTAGCATCTTTGTTCCAGGATTTCAAAGACTTAACACAATAATTCCCAAATGAGGTTCCATATCTTTCCTTCTTCCCACCCCAGGTAGTAAAGATACCTTCCCATGGCATTGTCACACATGGTAATGGGAAGGGGAGAACTGTTTGATTTCCCATAAAAAGTGAGAGCCACTGTTCACGCTAAGGAGCTACCCAGTGATTTCTAATTCATGAAAGAAATGTGTGTCTCAGAGCAGGTTCAGACATAGCAGACTCTCCTGAGAGAATTCTGGGCACCGTAGAAATTCATTCATGTATTGCCTACAAATAACTGATTATTTAAACTTCAAGTGGGTGGTGTGTTTGAGAAGAAAAAGTGGGTCGAAAAGGAAAGTGGTTCGTGCAGAGGACTGAATTACCACCAGGCTATGAAATGTCATCACAGTAATAATATTGGGCCTGGCTGTTTGCTTAGCATGTGAACGCTGCAGTGTCGCTTAGAGAAGATGCCTCCTTTGCCTTAGAAACTTGCGAAGGCTTCCTGAGATTGGGTGGGACTGGAAAGGGGAGCCTTTGGGACTTGTATGCATCCGGAGAGTTGCCCTTCGGGGCTCTTGTACTGAAGAGCATTGTGCAGTACTGTGAAACGTTGCTGAACTTTATGCAATCATGCCGCACTGGATATTAAGATTTGGGGGGAAAGTAGAGGAGGATGGGGAAGTGATGGTAAAAAATAATAAATATGTAAGGAAACTTGTACTATATTTTAAGCAAGGAATGAAACATTCCGTCGGGACTGTGAAGTTGGGTCAAGTTGTTCTGCCCTCCTGGGTCAGCTTGCTGATTCCTCCGAAACCTCTAAGAAATCCTTTGTGAAACAGCTAACCAGATGCTGGCGTGACCCCAGTTTCCCCACCCTGCTCCCCCCACCCCCCGAAAGAAAAACATTCCCAAACTCTAGGCAAAAGCAGCGTGCTCTGCGCAGCCCATTCCCTTTTCATCTGCGGTGGTCTGTCTGTGCTCACAGGTGTAGCCCGTTGCATTTTTGTGTGATCTCGTGGCGGACCTTAAAGAGATCTGCCAGTTCAGTCAGGAACCAGTGGCTCTCCTTTCGGAAATCTGAAAGTCAGGACTCAGGGGCGCGGCGGCATACGGGAGGAGAGGGAGACGAACGTCGGAAGAGCACTTGGCTTTCCCGGCTCCTGGTTTCAGGGTGGGACCCGCTCGTGTTCTGTCTCCGAGAGGAGCAGAGAAGGCTGAGGGTTCAGACAGAAGAGTCATGTAGCCGAATCCGGTTTCCTTCAGATGGACGTGGTCTGAAAGGAACCTGTCAACTGTTCTCTATGGTGCTTATTGGGTGGGTGACACTGTCCCCATCCACCTGTCCCTGGCACTGTGCCTTCCCACTGGTCACTGTGAAAAGCAGATCACACTGGACTCAGAGGCCAGACTCCAGGACAATTTCCCCTCATCTTGAGCCCATCACTTCTTCATTCAGCTAATAATGTAGCACTTACTTCTCTTTGGAAAACTCTTGGGGTTTCCCCCCAAGAAGCAGTAAAGCATTTAAAGGAAAATAGTGGTAGCTGTCAAATAAAGAGATTACAGGGAAGTTTCACTTCCCCTGAGCTGATACTGACTGATAGCAAGGACCAACGATGCCCCTCCGTCTGAGTTTTTAAAGGCTACCATGATATTTGTAAGCAACAAAGTTATCTAACATTTTTTCACAACTTGCTAAACAAGGATTTATCTTAAAACAGACAATCAATTTCTAAAATGTTATCCCTAAAAGGGAAAGAGATAGTTTTTAACTATTAGAACCCACCGGTCTGTTTTCCCCTTTGAAAGATCTAACCCTGCGGTTCGTGTCTTTCATCCGCAGCGATTACTCCAAGTCGCTCAGCGCTGCCTCAGAAAAGTCAGTGAGCCAGGCTCACGCCTGCACCTCGGAGGGTGCCGGGCTGGGTTTGTGCATCATATTTCCTTAGAGAATATCTGTTTTTATTATGACCTTAATTATAAGTACCTATATATAGGAATAGGATTTCCTCTCACCCCGCTCTCTTTTAATCATTGTCACTTAAGTGTAAACCACACCCCTCCACACCCCTTTTACTGAAAAAATGCACTTTAATTCCTAAGGAGAGTGGCTGTTCCAGCCCTAAAGCCAGATTACTTCAGGAGGAGAGTTGAGGAGGGAGAACTCTTTTGCCAGACCCTGTGAAATCAACCAAATTCCTTAATGTAAACACACAAATAATATCCATTTTTAAGCCACCCCCACCCCCTGCCAAAGGGAAAAAAGAAACCACCAGAATGAATAAGTTCAAAATGCCTACTCTGACTAGAAGTTTCACTGGGGAAAGTACCCAACATTAAGTTATTTTCTCATCTACCAAACCGTCAGAAACTTCTGGGGTGTTTTGTGGGAGGCTGAGTTTTTTTCTTATTAAAAAGTCAAGTGAAAACACAAAGACTATAAGGCATGAGTCTGATTTGTATCATTTCTGAGTATCAGATTTGTTCTTGCCCTTAATTTGACAGGTGTTCTCAGTCTCTCCTCCTGTAGGTTCTGTCCTTCCCCTGATGACAAGCCAATCGTTCTTGGTGGGGTTGCATGTCTCCTAGAGCCCCAGGAGCCCTGTTGTGTCGGGGAGGGGGGAGGGCAGGAGGGTGGGTGGAGATTA